GACCTTTCATTGTAGCAAACGATTTTCAGATCACTATGTCACCCAAAGTGCTTCTGCAGATGGTTAGCATCCTCATGAGTCAAACAAGCATCAGAGCAGTTTGTGTTTTTTCTTCTTTTTGTCACGAATAAGTAACAATTACTTCAGGATTTAGTTTATTTATCACATTTAATGTCGTTGTTACCATAAAACTGGAGGGGGTGCAGGGTCGTTTTCTGGATTGTTATCCCTTTGAGAATCAAGATGACTTTGATTAAAACCAAACCTTAAATCACTTAAACTCAGCACGTCTAAAACTGAAACTACTTTTGTAAATCTAAACAAGTTTAACCAAAAAAATAAAAAAGTTTTACCAAGCTTTCCCTAAAGCGTGAGTCCGCTTGAATCATTCCTGAGATCTTTCAGCTGGAAACAGGCGCAACAAGTACACATTATCTAATGAATCACATTCAGCTGGTGGGAAACAACATGGGATATGATATTTCTGCTAGCATCACCTGCTGTTTCATGCGGGTGAAAAAAATCAATTAGTGCAAATGGGCTAATCTAAATTATCTCAAATATCTGTGATTGCAGTTTCACCCTGGTGGTGCTCATGACTGTTTACGTTGATGACTTAAACAATCTGTTCCAAAACTCAAGAAAATGTCATCATTTCGGTTTAAACCCTATTTTACTTGGAGACAAAATGAAAGTTCGAAGGCTAACCATGGTTGATTTTCCTCGAAACGAGAAACACATTTATTCATGCACATTAAAATATAGATCTTTCTAGGATCTTATGAATGTGGTTCTGATACAGGTCATAAACATGGGTTTACTAAGTCTGTGCAAATATAACCAAATTCATGTTTTAACTTTGATTTAGGCTCCAAACAATCCCAAAACAACACCAGACACCCTTCTTGGTCCTTCAGGCTTCCTCTCTGCTTTTACTGCAGCACTGACTACATTTTGTTAATGAGTCTCATCAAATCAAGTAGAAAATCTAGTTTAAATAGTTTTAGCTAACATCCAGATACTTCAAAATGTACCTATTTGTTGTATTTCATTTACTAAATATGCTTGTTAATGACAGTGTAGACTGATTTGGTATGATAAAACTAATCTTAGTCTCGTTATAAATAATAATCACTAAATGTCTTAAATCTGCCACCTGAATACATAAATTAGAGTCTTTTTAAAATGTAAACTCTGATTGGTTTTATAAGTCTGTGGTTAATTATATGATGTCAATGTCAACCAGAATAACCATGATTAAAAGTTTTCCCCATAATCAAGCAGTGGGATAACCATCAAAGCTAATGTGGAGAGAGGATTGGAGCGGTTGCATTTATCTGCCAGGAAAATATGTGTCCAAATTCAGGAAAACTTAAAGAGGATGCTGGAACATGAAAGATAACGAAGAAGAGGGACCAGAAATACAGAATCTTTTGATTATGTGCAGAGTATGAAAGCGTTGACAGCTGACACATCCTCCGAGCATGTGTTTTTATCTTCCAGCTCTGATCAGTCCTCCTTCTGCTCTCATCCCGAAAAATGGAGACTGGAGACAAGGCAATAGCAGAATCAGCTGATAGCTTCTACAGATAACACCATAACCATAGCTAAATATGTGGAGGATACAAGAACCTCGCTGCTGAAGGAAGATGTCAGAGTCATCTCACTCCATGGCCCAGAACCAACCCGTGGCTACAAAGAAAACTGCAAAAGAGAAGCTTCAGATTCAGAGGTTGATGAAACAGGGCACTGAGAGTCACTTGGCTGTTTTTTGCTTGTTTTATTTGATTTTATTTTTGTAGAGTTTAGTAATAATGATGTGAAGACCTTTGGTCATTCTGTGAACGGTTTAACATTAAGAATAATGATGATAATAATAACACATGTTATATGTAGTGCTTTTCATCAAAGTGCTTTATCATCAGCATAGAAATGATCATTTATATTTAGCGAGCATAAGATATGTAGCCTGGCAAGCCATCCTTTGTACGTGAATAAGACAGTCTGGCCACGGTCCATCGACAGCTCTCAGAGGTGAGGCGGGATCTACGACTGTCTTTGAAACAGTCTCTGCAGTCCGCCATACTCCATCAAAGAAGATACAAATTCCTCCATATTCTAAATAAACTTAAGTACCGATATCTGCCCTTGAAGCCCAAGTCTAAATAGTCGAAAGCTGATACCAAAGCCATTTCAAATGAGCCGTCGCCGTTTTTGTTTTATTTCAGTAAGATCCTACCCATCAACAGAGTGCTGTGATTGGCCCACCAAAATAATAAAGCACTGTGATAGGACCGCTAAAGAGCTGCTGCCACCTTAGTTTCACTCATTTGCACTAACATCCAACCCAGCTGACTGATTGAGCATTGCATTTGGACCACTACGGATGTCAGTCGACGGGGCAGCCCGACATTCATGTGGAAGAAGCAGGGAGAAAGATGAAAACACATTTTATCTAAATAAATGTGCTGTGATTGGCCAGCCACAATACTGATGGGGGCTGTGGAGCTTCCAATGGAGCATTGCTAGACCATCATGCATTACAAAATTATTTTGTTTCAGTAAATGTCTAGATTCTAGGCTATTAGGTCTGGCCTACAGAGAACAACAGCAGACCTAAGACTAACCCTTGAGGAACCCCCCGTTTTTTATTTGAATTTCACAGAAAAAAAATCACAGTTGTCAGAAAAAAACATCTAAATTAAGAATCAATTAAAAGGAAAAATAAATAAAGATCATTAAACAAGTGAATAAACATGCTTTTTAACTAGTAAAAAAAGCAAAAGATGAAAGTAAAAGCAGTTAAAAGTTATAAACACAAGACTAGACAGAAAACAAGACAACACATCCCTTTTGTCTCACACACAGATCAACAAAAATTCCTCAAGAAGTCTTAAATAACAAAATCAAACAGAATGCATGTTGGATTTTATCATTTTACGTCATTTTACGTCAAAATTAAGTTTAAACAACCCATTCTCACAATTCTATCACTGCAGTCAGTGTCCATTTGACCAGTTATTAGCTCCTGCTGGTCGGGGTAGATAAGATGGAGCTATGAAAATGGTTAAATTGTGGAACATGAGAAAAAACAAAAATGAGCTTCGGGATGGATTAGGGTGGAAACCCTGCGGTGATGGGAATATTCTCTGCTTCTGTAATACTGGCATTCACACGGAGAGAGTTGGTTGTTTCAAGGCTCAACCTGTCATTAAGTAAATCTGGAAAAAATTTAAATAAATTGCTAGAAACCTTTAAAAAAGGTCAGAATGAAAAGTGTACACATCAGCTGAAGCCAACACTAACTAGTTTCTTATTTTAAATAAAAGTTTAATTGCATAGAAATAAGTATTTAAATAAAAATATTGGTATTTTTTATTTGATACCAGCAACATGCAGGTGAATTTACTTAGTTTTTACATAAAGAGGAGATTTGCACTCCTCCATGAGGCATTTTTCAGTTAACCGGAGGTGAACCAAAGGCCACATGTTTAGTCATCAGTAGAGGGTGGTTGTAAATGATGGAAACAGCTTTTTAGCAGAGGGGAAATGGAAAACAGTGCAAGGTGATGTATAAAATGACAAACAGGTTTATAATAAACTTTGGAGCAAATAATCACTTCCAAAAATTGGGATATTCTAATTTTAGCTAATGTTCCACAACAAGTAATCCGTTTGGTGTGTGGTACATTTGGATGAACCCAACATAGAAGAAAAGCAGCGTTAGGTCAAAGAAATAGAATTTTACTTGTGATGAAAGAAATATTAAACAAAGGAGTTGTTGTGGTGTAAAACCAAACCAAAACAGAGCATGTATATTTGGTTTAGAGAGTGAATGACTTCCTTTTTTCTCCTTTGGGTAATTAAATAAATTGTTATCACCCTTCACCAAACTCTCTGACATTCCAGCAGTGTGGAAATATTCTCGGACTCATTCATTTGAAGTGTTGGGATATTTGACCAACCCTGTAAGGTCACAGTGGTTTTCTAATACACGATTAGTGTTGCTCTAAGCATCGTGGCATAATCTAATCTCCTCCGGTGTCTCGGTGCAGATTTAAGAGCTTTGATGATGCAAGTGAATAATCACATTGACTCTCTTTGGGTGTTTGGATGAACTGATAAGAGCACCGTCTTCCAGTTTTAGGAAGCAAACAGACTCAGATCTAGTTTGTGGTGAATGATCCAACTGTAAATGTGCTCTACACGCTTTAAAATAGTTCCCAAAAACTAATGAATCCAGAAGCAGATTTGGCCTGTAAAAGTATAAAATAAATAAAAAATAATAATGCAATGTATGTTCAACTTATGTTGTGTATTGTATTGATGAATTTGATACTTGCAGACCATCTCTGCTGATAAAAACTGAGATTTAAATCCAGGAATTTAAAATGATGGGGTTAAAACAACAGCATGTGTTATGAACTAGAGTTGGGTGCTAAACAACTAATGAGTGCAAATGTTTTCAGTTTTTAAAGGGGAAAGCCGAAATCTAGTAGTGTTTCCCTAAAAGTTTGAATTAAATGAATTTTGAATGTTTGGATGCAGATGAGCAGCGTCCTAGCTTAAGGGTAGAGTTCTTGCTGCCACAGGCATTAAGAGGGGGAAAGTAAATTATGGGGAGTTTATTCCCATTCCTGTTGTTTGTGGACACTATGGAAACCGTTGTGCTTTATTTTCTTCATTTTTTTGTTAAGGTGTCAGTGCATTTTTCCTACAAAGCCACAACATGTACCATCTTGTTTACTATTTTGAACCCCAGGCAGGTCTCCTCCCAAAAACTTGGCTTCTGTTCTTGCTCATGATGCCTTCACTGTCCCTTGGAATAATCAAAAAAACGAACTACTTCACTACACGACTTGGAAGAAGGAAAAGATTATTTTTCTTTCGAAATAGGTCAAAAATATGACTTCCCAAATAAAAGTACAGCAATGATTTGCTTCTCAGAACAGACAGCTTCACTTCGGATTTACCAGCCATTAGATTGCCCGTGAACGCATCTTCTTAACGCTGCCATGTTGTTGTTTTATCCACGGAGTTTCCAGCTGCTGTCGGTGTCTGCGGACACAGTGGTCAGTTCTCGAGGCAGACTTACTACTTTACCGATATCACCTGGAATACAGCAGAACTTTAGATCTATTGCAGAAGCTATTTCACAGTGAGTGCTACCGTCGGGTATGTAGTTCTTTGGGTTTATTAGTTGACTGATGATACTTTAACTCTTTGGCTAAAGCTGGTTCCGTGGGTTTCAGCTACTTTTTCCTCATTCATGTTAATAGCCTGTAAAAGCCCGCGTTGTGTGGGTGCTTTTCTTTTCCTTTCTCCTAAATGTTTATCGATTATCGAAACTGGGAACCGCTTTTTCACTCAAAACCGAACAAAAAAGAGTGAAGATTAGCTTTAAAGTAAAATGTATGAAGTGCTTGGAAGCTAACGTCTGAGCTAGCTAGCTAAGTCTGCCAACGGGCACCACTTTCTTTTGCCAACTTGGACAAAAAGTTGAAAAGTAAATTGAACTTTGAGACGTGAGGCATTGATAATAAGACTTTAACTTGTTTGTGGAATAATTACGTTCAATAATTGGTGGAAGTGCTGGACAGACTGGAAACACTTGAACAGTTTAGGTGGAAATACTTGGGCAGAAACTACTAACTTCAATGTGTCTTGGCTAATGGTAACAAATGGAAACTGAACTATTCGGGCAGTTGGGAGTCCACCTTATCGCAACACAGTTGTGGACGTGTGTACTCGAGTTTTCTACCACAAAAAAGGGAAGTTTGATATGTCTTCATTGTGTCTAAGTGCATAAAATCTCCATTAGCTTCAGATGACTGAGGGCATAATAAAGCAACATTTATTTACACATATTCTGTCCCCGTGGTATTGAGTTTATTATCTGTTTACAGCAACACACATTTTAGGTTAGAGCAATACTATTTAAATCATTAACACTGTCTCAAAGAAGAGTGAAACATTAAACATAAAATGTAAAAAAATAAAATAAAAATAAAACTTATTTGATATCTATTGCACACAACATTGTTTTAGATTGAAATAGTTCATTTGTTTTTGTATTTTCCCCTTAATTTTTCTAAGTTTGCATTTCTTTAAAGTATGTGTCTATTAAAAATTGTAGCATTTTTCTTATTTATATATTTTCTTATAGAATTTTCTACTTATCTTTCAAATTCAGTTTCTTTTTTAAGTTTCTGTGACTTCACATTATTGCAAAGATTATTATGAAACCAGGTGAGACAAGCTGTCGTTCAGTCATAGATGAAAACACAACATTGCAAAATATTTACACCCGCACCAGTGTCAGAGGGGGACAAGCTTAACTTTCTATTTTTTAAGGATCTAAAGTAGTAAAATTAGAGCCCTATGAAATCCATTTCATTTTCTTCCCTAGTTGAGATTTTCTTTTTTTTTTATTCAACTTTTTTTTTACATGGTAACAAATGATTAGATAATAAAAAAATTTAACAAGATTTTCTGGGGAAAACAAGCTTTTAAAATTAGGGCTGGGGGTAAACGATTATTTTTAAAACGATTATTCTGACGATTATTTTATCGAATAGTCGACTATTCTAATGACTATTTAGAAAACTAATCTAATGATTATTTTTCTATTGCACAATTAACAAAAACCAGAAAATCTCAAATAAATTCCTCAAAAAAATTGATAAATTCTTACTGTAAGAGAATAAACACTACAGGCCTTCCATTTTGTATAACACTGCTTTTATTGTGTTGTTTGGTTATGTTCTGGTGACATGTAGAACTTGGGAGTGCAGGCTGCTGCCTGAGAGGTGGTAGAAGATGGAGTGTCTCCATGCTGCTTTGTTTTGGTCACTTATGTGCGTGAGGCGAGTGGTCTTACGGGTTAAACCAAACTCAGGTGATATTTTACACTAAACCGAAAACCCACAACACTCTAAATGTAATAAAAGGGAGATCTACACCACAAAAAAGATTAACTCTAAACCAAAACGTAACAGCTTATCCCAACGCAAGAAGCTGTTAGCGAAGATGCTAACAGTAGCTTTACCAACGTTAAGTTCAAGTTACCAAGTTTAAATAAACCAAAAACACCCAGCAAACAGACCAGCATGGAGGAGAGACTGCTACCACCAAAACAGCTCTCCTCATGTCTGAAAGAAGCTCCTTTATGAAGGGAGAAACGCTCCCGGTGATGTTCTACATCTGCGATAGACACGAAGCAGCGCATCTGACCCCGGAAGTTGTTGTCCGTTGCCGGGAGACGAAGGCGGGCAAAACAGGAAAGGAATCTAGTAGTGGACGGACATTGTTCCGGGTCTTCGGTATTTGGCGGAGATGTTAGTGAAGGCGGAGAAGAGGGCGAACTAGAGGAAAAACGGGCAGATTCCTCCTCTATTTACAAACTCCTGGGGATGCAACAAGTGGGCGCGGTGCGTCGACTTCCGGATCTGACGTCGACAAATTTTTAGAATCGAGCCGTCGACTTCGTCGAGGCTTCGCTACAGCCCTATTTAAAATAGATGACAGTTTTTCTAGTGAGAGTTGCTTTTTGTTTCTAAAAATGGGTTGCAGTGCCTAAATCTGGTGACAGAATGTCATTCTTACTTCATCCTTACATATTGCACCTTTGGTAACAGCAAGCATTAATAACATGCCGCTGTAATTTCTGCTAAATTATATATAAATAGTAAAATGAAATCAGTGATTTTTGTTACCAGTAGTAGTCAAGACCCCCACCACCAAAGAGGAGTTCAAGCAGAAGATGCAAAAAAACAAACAAACAAACAAAAAAAACATCAATAAATGTACTCAAACTTTAAAACTTCAATGCTTGTATTAAAGCCAATTTCTTTTCAGGCTGTATTTTTAATGTTTGTTTGCATTCTAGCTTTACAAATGAAGGCAGTGGTCTTTCAGGATGTGGCATGTTACTCTACAGCTAGCATAGCCTCTGTTGCAATGTGTTGCATTTTAAATGACACAGTTTTAAATGTGATCCTCTTCATTTGCGTAATGAGGTAGGAATGCCCACAGTTATGTTTAAAACATTCTCAGGAATCTTAAGCCTGCCGCACACGAGAGCAATCTGCAGAGCAAACGGCCTCGAATGACCGTTGGCTCAGCAGATTGCTCGCCGTGTGCACCTGATTTTCACTGAGTTTTCCACCTCACAAGAAGCTGAGACGAATATCTGACCATTCAGATATTTTCCGCCTCACGGGGGTAGAAACTCACCGTGTGCGCACTACTGAGCTGCCGGCTGAGCTGAACTATTCTAGTGGCCAATCGAAGCGCCTTCTCTGATCACATGATTCCAAGATGGCAGCCCCCTGTCTGCATGTCAGAAAATAAGCAAAACGGAGACAGAGCTGGAAACGGAGGAAATGCCTCTACCTTTTTTGTTGACGAAGCGCCGCCACCGGCATTTCAAGGTTAGGAAAGTTATGGGTACGGTGGCTGGAAATAAGGGCCAGGCGAAGAGTTTGTGCCAATTTACTCCCAAGAGATGCGACTGAAAGACCCAGAATCCTCAGCGTCTCGTGAGGCGGAAATTTAAGTGAAAATCAGGCGCACACGGCGAGCGATTGCTCTCGTGTGCAGCAGGCTTTAAAAGAAAATGGAAATGACCAGACTGGGAAAACACAGAGGATAAAAAGCCATGCAGGAAATTACACTGAACACATTCATAGATGGGTTCTTTTAATTGACTTTTTTGATAATAATTCAATTAAAGTGGTAGTATGTAGTTTCCTGGCGCTAAGGGGCAGTACATACATAACTTTCTGGGTAGTTTTACACCATATCGTCGTGTCTGTCGCTAGTTTAAAAACACATTATGTAGGACTGGACGATAGTTCAGTAGTCCAGTATATCTATCGATAGGCGTGTGGTGCGATAAAAACAAAAAACTGGGTCTATTAAACTTCAATAAAAAGTTTATTTTTTCATTATAACCTATCAGGTAGCAGCATACTAGACTCACTACTTACTCCTAACCCATCAAAACCACAGACTCGGGTATGCTGCATCACCAGTCTCTCCCCTCTCACCAAAACTGGGCATGAGACAGCAAGATGTCGCACCGAGAAGAGGTGGAGAAAAATAAAAATACCAAAAATAAAATGGTCAGGGCTGCATGTAAAATATATTTTCTACCATAAAAATTTATTTTCAATAATTCTATCAATCAGTATAAAAAAAATTATCGATGTACTTTTTTCTATATTGTCCAGCCCTAACATTACGAAAAATTTTACCTGTGGAGCAGAAAGCATGCAACCTCAGACTTTGATGGTCCTTCAGTTAATTCCAGACTGCAATGCCGATTGTAGTTTTCTGGCGCTGTGGTTTCCAGATCTGCTCGGGGTCCTGCACCTGACTATGCCTTCATCATACTATGGCAATACCACTTGGCCAAAATATATTCAGGGGTGGACATTAACTTCTAAACCAACCGGCCAACCAGGCCGGTAACTCTGAATATTTACCGGCCCCGCCAAGAATCTACTGGCCCCGCTGGTCAGCTGCCAAAACGAGTCAAAATAACAACTGAACCGTTTTAAATGTAATAAACCTTTATTTTGTACACATTCACAAACATAATAACGTATTCAAGTTTGAATTTGTTTGTTCCCTCAACAAAACTCAATTTTGTCGTCGCATACTTCCGGCATACAACGCAGTACATCACCAACTCCGCTTTGCTGTACTCGAGCCATTGGCTGTGTTCAAGATGAGCCAGTTCTGTGCAGATTAGACCAGCGGTGATCGGCGAGCAGTGCATGCCGGTTAGATTTGTGTCTGACTTGACGCCTACTTGCTCTGACGTCATGCATACGTAGGCAACGATAACCTCGTGAGATCAAGGCGGCCGCAGATTTTGGAGCAAGGCGCTGCAGTTGCTCTCCCTTGGCTGCAAAACCTAGAGGATGACGGGAAACGCCTGGCTCTCACCTGATCTAAGATCTGATTGGTTCATATTTTGATCCAAACATCTGGTGGTAGAACATGAAATGTTAGTTGGTCACATGTGTTCTGTAAATCATGTTATGTTGATGATGACAACTATATAGGCCATAAAGAGAAATGTATTTTGTTTTCTTTTGTCACGTTTCCTATGAGCACACTGAAGCTACAGCTGCTAACCTTTACTTATTATTACAGTCATGTCTTCA